ATAAATAGGCAAATAACAACCTGTCTCACATTCTGTCCCAGCAAGGTGGGGGGGCAAGCAGGGGCAGGTGTGGAATAGGGAAGCAAACAACCATTGTGATTAGAAGTATCTGCAACTGTATATTTGTACACTAGTTCAGCTTGGCTGCAATGACTGAGGCAGAAGAACAGCATCAGCATCTGACAGTGAGGGCAGTCTGAAGGTAGCCTCATGATTTGAGGGTTCCCAAGACAGTAGCTGTCACTGAGTCCAGGAGGTGCAGGTCAGGTTAGATCACACCAGAATTTGCAAATATAAACCTTTTCAGGAACCCGTACTCAGACTACTGTCAAGCTATATGCAAATGTTTCTTAACAACGGTAGTAAGGACTAGAATGTCATAAGCGAAGCTCCTGGTTCAATCCCTGCCCTCTCCCTGAAACCCCGGAAAGCTGCTGCCAGTCAGTGAAGGCAACGCTGATCTAAATGAACTGATGGCCTGACTTAGAAAAAGACAGCTTTCTGTTCTCCATCTTCCTAGTATTCCTCCTTGCCCATTTACCCTGCCTGCCTCCTCTCTGCTTCGCTGGCACCCAATCATGCAGCAGGCAATTCTGAGCCAAAGCCTCATTAGCATGTGATATAAAAATAGAAGTGCATTTTTGCATCTCACCCTCACAGCTGATCACCCAGCAGCATGAACACAGGAGTATTAAGTATTTATATGAAAAGGAAATTAAAGGCAGCGCCACAGGGGCTTCTTCTGAAGGCAGGATGTAGAGAGAGAGGAAATGTGAGCCTCAGTCCCAGCATGCATTGCACAGCTCAACAAACCCGAGATTCTCCTTCCTCTCTGCCTGTAGCCATAGAAAAGGCATTTTATTATTGCACTTCTCTTTTCTCCCCCTTGCAAGAATTAAATAAAAGAAATTAGATATTTTTAATGACTATTGTATTATTTTTTCCTCCAGTTGTAACACAGGAAGGACTTAGCAAATCTCTTTCAAAGCTTGTGCACAGAACCTTGTTTCTATATATGTGAATATTAGTACAGATGGATATGAATAGCTATCTCTCTCTCCATCTAATCATCATCTATTATACAGTGGTACCTCAGGTTACATACGCTTCAGGTTACATACGCTTCAGGTTACAGACTCTGCTAACCCAGAAATAGTGCTTCAGGTTAAGCACTTTGCTTCAGGATGAGAACAGAAATCGTGCTCTGGTGGCGCGGCAGCAGCAGGAGGCCCCATTAGCTAAAGTGGTGCTTCAGGTTAAGAACAGTTTCAGGTTAAGTATGGACCTCCAGAACGAATTAAGTACTTAACCTGAGGTACCATTGTACTAATATCTGATCAATATTACTATTTCCAGGGAGGCTATTATATGAATAAGTAAATAAATGCAGAAAAATCAGAGAACAGAAAAACTACAAAAATAAAGAACAACAAAACAGTGAAGGTTTGAGGAAATAACTATCCACCTGAAACCAAAACCATATACGCAAGCAAGTCTTCCTAGAGGCCTGATTCATAAGCTTTCCTTAAAAAAATAAAGTAAATGTTATACACAGTACATTGTCTCAAGAAATAAATAAAATGGGGACATCTGGAGGAAGGCCTCGAAATATGACCTTTGTGTGTGTGAAAGCTTCTGTGGAAGGTAGTGCTTCGTCAGGTAGCTGGGTCTGCTATCCAAAAGTGCATAGGGCTTTAAAGGTAAATTGGAGCGAATCTCTTAAGACTCGTGAGGAGAGAGCTCTCTCATATCCTCCAAGTGTCCCGATTTTCCACTGACAGCCCTGAAATTACGACAGCCATCCCAGCTTCTGATTTGATCCCAGAATGTCCCGATTTCCCCCACCAACACCAAGCTTGGGGAGGAGGAGAAGCCGGCACTTGTCCCAAGTGATATTAGTGGTGGCAGCGGCAGCAGCAGCTGTGAGGGGTCATCCGGTTGCCTCTCCATGGCTGCTGCTGCCGGCCTCCTCCCTTGGGCAACTTGCAGCAGCTGCTGGAGAGCAGGTGAGGAGGAGAAGAGGCTGCTACTGCCAAGGCCCAGCCCAGCCCAGCCCAGCATTACATGCCAGCTCTAAGGGTAGGGCTGCCTGGGGCAGGAAGAAAGGGAGAATGGAGCACAAGTTGACTTGACGGGGATTTTTGGTTTTTTAAAATGCTTTGTGCATCCATGTCTAATCTTGCCCCTTTCTAAAATTTATTTATTGGTGTGTTTATTTTTGCAAATCTGCCAAAGAAACAAATAAAATAAAATTGGGATTAAGGGGTTTTCTCATGGTGGTGGAGAGCATGGGTGCTGTGCCCTTTTGCTGTGGTGGTGATGGCCTTCTTCTGATAAGAAATGGTCTATGGCGGGGACGACGAAGAAATGGGATCAGCTGGAGGGGGGAGTGAGAAATGCCCCTATTTTTCTCTGAAGAATGTTGGAGGCTATGCTCTCCTAAAGCCTTCAAGAAAGAGGATGCCAGAGTGACCTTTACCTGTACTTAGCTCACAGAGGAATCAGCAAGTGGGGGAAGCATCATAGCTCAGTGGTTACAGAATCTGTCTTGCAGGCATAAGTCCCTAGTTCAATACCTGGCAACTCCAGTTAGGCTTGGAGATCTTCTCCATCTGAAATGCTGGAGTGCCACTGCCAGTCAGTGTAGACCAAGCATCCCCAAACTCAGCCCTCCAGATGTTTTGGGACTACAACTCCCATCATCCCTAGCTAACAGGACCAGTGGTCAGGGATGACGGGAATCGTAGTCCCAAAACATCTGGAGGGCCGACTTTGGGGGTGCCTGGTGTAGATAATACTGAGCTACATTGACCAGCTGCCTGACTTGATATAAAGCAGTTTCTTACTGGTCGGTAGCAAGTCACTCCTTTGCTGAAATCAGATTAGAGCCTGTAAGACTTAATAGTTGCCAGCCATGATTCTAGACCAAAGTCAGTACAGCAGATATTCAGAAACTACGGTACTTAAGTGAGTTGACTGGATCCTTTATCAAAATAGTTTAGTTTTCCTCACGACTGAATTCACTGTCTGAGCCATTGTGACAAACTGTCAGAACAGATTTGGGGTCATGTTTTTTGTTTGTTTGTTGTAATAGACCAAAAGGTAAACCTAGACTTTAAAGGTGGGACCTGCTCTCCTCAGTTTTGCTACACCCATCCTGTTCTGCCCAAAGGAAACTCAGCAGAACAGAAAACAACTTGCGCTCAAATGCCTGACGTTCAGTAGGAGTTTGTGTCAAACATGTTAATTTCAGCTTTGATCATTTAGGTTTAAGAATTAAAATTTGTGTGTGTGTGTGTGTGTTTTTAATGATGTCAAGTGTTTGGCAGGTATGGCTGCATAGGAACAATCAAGAGCTTAATGTAAGCTCGAAATTGCTCCTTTGCAAGCAGGGCTAGCTAACAACACCGATCAGCTGACAACAAACCCCACTGAGATTGGCTGCACTAATGAGTTCCCTATTAGGAACTCCTAAGTGCAGCTAAAGGGGCTCACTTAAATCCAAATTGCATCTGCAAATGGACTTCAAAAGTGTGTGTCCCCACCTATCAAAGTTGGTCCTCATGCAGGGGAGGGCATTAAGGATCCGGCCCACTGGCTGGACCCAGTTCCCCACGTCCGCTGTACAGTAATTATTTCCTGACTCAGGAGCAACTACAGGGGAGATTGTTCAATCTTCAGAGAACTCGCTGCAGGAAGGTGTGACAATGGTTCAGACTGTTTTTTTAAAGGAACAGAAGACTTATGGCAATTGAGCCTATCAATAGCTATTAACCTTGACAGCCAAAAGGAATCTCCATGTTTGAAGGCAGTCTTCATCTAAATAACAGATCATGGCAAAACACAAACAAACAAAAATCAAATGAAGAATGGTTACAGTTATGGTATATGGCTTCCCACAGGTATCTGACATTTTTAGGAAAAATAATAGACTAGGTATAATGCAGCAGCAGGGATCTATCTACTTAAAATGGGCTACAGGTTGCCCATCTGAGATTGAGAGTCAGCAGTTGAGACCAAGCCAAAGTTTTCCCAATCTGAAAAGAAAAGGAAATGGCACATTGCATTGAAATCTGCCAAGAATCTTAGAGGCTTCTGGCTGAAAATGCAAAAGCATGTAAGTCGCAAAGTGCTCATCATGATAGATTAGTTGTATTGCTAGCTAACCAATCAACCTCAAAATCTTTTTCAGCATATTCAGAGTTAAGGATCCCAGCTCCTTTATACATCTTGGACAGAGTCCATATATTAACACTCATAGATGACTCCCTTTGCTTATGACCCTGACACTAGTGGCTGCCAAGCTTCCAGGGAAAGTCTACTGCCATTTGTTCTGCCTTTCTGATGGCCAGCAGTGATCACAGGAGTTGCATTGCCCCATTTTCAAAAGCTATAAAGGACAGCTGGAATGCCCTTCCTTAACAAAGAGGAAACAGGTAACTGAGGTACAGTCACCAGCCACACAGAGAAAGTCAAAGTATTCTCATATTCCCTTTACCACACCTGGATTGCCCAATAGTAAAGCAGGGACACACACAAACACTTTTTTTAAAATATAAAAGATTTTGTCATTAATTAAAAAACCAGAAAAAACCCCACTGAAGTGGTCATTTGGGGGAAGATCAATTTTGTTAGACTTCATTACAGTCCACTACACTACCTTCCTCCGTTTTTTCTGTTCTCTTTTTATTCCTTAACCCCACCTAAACCATGGGGTATCAGATATGGAATGACCACAGCTCATTTGAAGAGCATCTACTGTGTGTGTAGATGCTCTCAGGTTCAAATCCTTGTCACTTCTACCTAAAAGAATCACATTAGAAGGAGATAAGAAAGACTCTTTTGCCTAAGAGTTTAGAGAGCTGGCTGTCACAATACTAGGGTAGACGGATAAATGGTTTGACTCAGTGTGCAACAGCTTTCATAGAATCATAGAACTGTGGAGTTGGAAGGGACCATGAGGGTCATCCAGTCCAACCCCCTGCAATGCAGGAATCTTTTGCCCAATGTGGGGCTTGATCCCACGACCCTGAGATTAAGATGCTCATGCTCTACCAACTGAGACATCTCTCAGGGGTTCACTGTGCCTGAAGATGACTACTGCCCCCTGCACTGCGCGGGCAGTACTTTGGATAGAGAAGAAATTGTGCTCACGATGCAACAATATATTAAAGAGCTGCTGATTTATTTATATTTTAATTTTTAAACCAACACATTCACATACATGGGGGAAAGTAGAAAGGTGCACTATTGGGGTGATGCAAACCATTGTTCATGTTTTTGTTGCCCTGCCTTGCCCTGTCACTTAGGCTTCCCCCCCCCCCAAAGGATCCAAGGAATTTTGATAGGGTGAGGCTACTGTGACAAAGCAACCCTTGTCGGGGGTCTCCCCAGGAGAGGAAATGACAGTTCAAGCAGTTTAATCAGGGGTCAGCAAACTTTTGCAGCAGGGTGCTCTTCCACTGTCCCTCAGACCTTCTCGGGGGCCAGACTATATTTTGAAGGGAAAAAATGAATGAATTCCTAAGCCCCACAAATAACCCAGAGATGCCTTTTAAATAAAAGCACACATTCTATTCATGCAAAAACACCAGGCAGGCCCTACAAATAACCCAGAGGTGCATTTTAAATAAAAGGACACATTCTACTCATGTAAAAACATGTTGATTCCCGGACCGTCCAGAAGGCGATTGGGCTGGATCCAGCCCCAGGGCCTTAGTTGGCCTACCCATAGGCCTGTGTTTGTCATGGTTTCCTGCCACATACAGGCACAAGGCACAAAAGAATGGCACTATGTCATTAATAGTACCTTCGTTTCACTAGTGTTTTCATTGTAGAGCCTCTCTGTGCAATGTTCTTAGAACCTTTCATGCTTCTAAACTAGTTTTCTGCAGGCTGGTCCTCTCCAAATATTTTGAACTGCAACTCTCATCATCCGTGACCAATGACTATGCTAATGGGAGTTGCAGTCCAAAACATGTAAACAGCATCAGGCTGGGGAAGGCCAATGCACACATTTACCCGGGAGTAAGGCCCAGTGAACTCAACAGGTCTTACTCCTGAGTAGACATGTATAAGACTACACTGTTTGGGGTTTTTTTGGTCCTGTGAGGCTTAACAAAAATAATCTCATAATTAAGTAATTGACCATTCATTACCAATCTAAACTTTATTAGTGCTACATGCGAATTCTAAAATGTGCAGAAATTTGTGTTTTTTATCTTCAAGATAAATTTGTTAAATAAAATTATGTGGGGTATTTTTTCTGAGGGGGGTAGAATCCAAAGCACCCCCAAAATAGATACTCTAACTAGATGCCCTAAAGATGTTTTGGACTGCAACTCTCCAGTGGTGCTGTAGTCCAAAACATCTGGAGGGCACCAGGTTGAAAAAGACTGGTCTAGACATTATTATGCCCATGGTTTGTAGTTCTGTCTTCCCCTGCCCCTGCTCCCCCCCCCTTTTTTTTTCATTTTCAAGTCAAGCTGTTCTACATCCATCCGCCTTTATATTTTATTAAGTCAGGGATTACATTATGGGCAGCTCATACTCTTTGCTACATCTCCCTATTTATAGTTTGCCCGTGGCTAATATTCTTGTTTCAGGAACTAAAAAAGGGCTGCTGAGAGAGGACTTACAATGATGCTTGCGCATTTAAGCAACATAACATCTGTTCTGGGAGCCACTGCATCAGTCGCATGATGCTCATATCATATGCTGAGCAAAGTAGAAACATGAACAAATGCACACACTCTTTTGCAAGTTCCTCTCAGCAAGCACTTGGAAAGAAGGCAAATATAACCCCTCTATATGCAATCCCCCGTGGATTCTATTCCATATGAAGCCCCTCAAGATTCTTTTCCATACGTTGCTCTTATAGATTCCATTCCCCACTAGATACAGTGGTGACTGCCAATTGGGATTAGTGGGTCTCAACTGGGAGACCAACACAAGGTAGAACTGGAGCCAGTGAGTATTTGTATGTAAGAAGGCAGGCAGGTTGTAGCTGGCAGGGAAGGCTGAAGTTGGTGGGGCAATGCTGCCCCATTTGCCCTAATAAACCAGCCTCCACTAGATTCTATTCCATTCTGTATTCTTTGCCACAGAGAAAATGGTGACGATGGCTCAAAACCAGAGGTACACAGCGGAGATGGCTTCTTGTTCGATTGTTATAAAATTCTAACTGTGAATGAAGCCCTCAGGGCTATGTGTGCAGGCCCTGCCCCCTTTCACCTTTGGTATGCTGAGCAGAAAGATCTGAAGAGGGTTGTGTGTTTGCTTGAACGTAATTGCAAGCCTCCCCACAATCATGAACCCCAGTATCAAAGAGGTGTTTGACAGGGATGTCCACTTCCTTCCTTGCTGTTCACAGATCAAGTTGGTGGTAGCCAACATTAGGCATACATAGAGTTGTTGTTGTTGGCACCCATCTGTCATAAGAGACTGTTAACAGAGTGCATTTCGAGGGGGGAACTCAAACCACTGTGTGGGAGGCAGCATCAAAGTGACCTCCCTGGAAGCAAGCCTAGACAGTGTGCATGGAGGTCCAGGGCTGCCCAGACAACAAATGGCTTACTGAAATCCAGATTCAAGTAACGAGTCCATTGATTTCAATAGGTCTACTCTATGACTTAGCTAGATGTATATGATGGGGGTGGTGAACATGTGGCCCTCATGTTGTTGACCTCAATTCCAAGCCAATGGTCATGGAAGATGGGAGCTGTAGTACAATAACTTCATGAGGCCACAGGTTTCCCACTCAGCATTCGAAGCTCCCATTATTCTAGGTGCATTTTGTGACAGGGGATTTCATTAGTGCACTGAAATCTGTTTCTGAGCTCTTGGCGCAGTACTGTGCCTAAGATTTCAGATTAAAACTGCAGAGTGGAAGGGAAGGAGGGCCTTTTTCTGCCTCCCCACTTCCAGCTACTCTCTGAAGACTGGAAAAGAGACCTTCTTAAAATATGGGGGGGGGGCAGGGGAAGGACTAGACCATGTGAAAAATGAACATATTTTAGCTGCAGTTTGTTCATTTTCAGCTTTGTATTCTTGTTATAAAAAAAAATACCTAGACATTCCGTTGTTGTGTCCATAACCTACGTTTTAGGTCCCATTTAGCTCCTAGCTTTCATATCTCAGTTTTTAACACTGTTCCCACCTGTTATAAGAAGACACCTGGGCTACAGACTAAGCATGGGTATAAATCATTTACAGTGCACAGGCAACATTGCCTTAACTCCAACAAGCCCTGAATAATATTTTCCACAACTCATAAATATATTATAATAACCCTGTAATGTATCTGGTTATAAAATCAACCACAGTAAATCAGAATGAATGATATGTAATATGCCAAGAGAATTAAGGAGCCTGTTAACCTTAAGGAATAACATTCCACAGGAAACTAATCTAATCAAACTAATTTAATCCTGAATTGGAAACACTTGTACAATAAAACCACTTTAAAAATTAACAAAAGAACATAGGAAACAGCCTATTGCAGCATGACAACATCAGTCTATCTATATTGTTCATGTTGACTTAGCAGCAGCTCTCCAGGGTTTCAGAGTTTATGACAGTCTCTCTCCCAGCCCTACCTAGAGATGCCAAGAAATGAACCTGGGACATTCTGCATGCAGTACAGATGCTCTACCACTGAGCTAAAAATAAACTGGGTGTCTGGGTTAGGGAGAACAGCAACTACTGTATTAAAATGAATTTATTACCAAATGCAATTATTTATGTTTATCAACATCCTATTCTTAGTATGCTCATTGATTCTTAACAATTGGGAAAAGTTAAAAATGGATATTATTTGGATGTATAAACCTGCTAGACTATCCAGTAAAGTGTCACACTCCCCCCCCCAAAAAAACCCCAACCACCACTAATAAAGGAGGTCAAAAATTACACAGTACTAACAGCTTCTGCCCACCTAGCAGTTCAAAAGCACATAAGGTGCAAGTAGATAAATAGGTACCGCTCCGGCGGAAAGGAAAAACAGCATTTCCGTGCGCTGCTCTAGTTCGCCAGAAGTGGCTTAGTCATGCTGGCCACATGACCTGGAAGCTGTCTGCGGACAAACGCAGGCTCCTTCGGCCTATAGAGCGAGATGAGCGCCACAACCCCAGAGCCGTCTGCGACTGGACCTAACTGTCAGGGGTACCTTTACCTTTAACATGCTGTTATAGTAGCCATTTTACACGTCTGGTCTGGTGCAGGAATAGCTCAAGGGACCGCAGTCCCTGTGCCAGTGACCAGCCAAGTTGGGAAATGGCTAGGGGCTCCAGGGGCTCAGAAAGGCTCCTTACTCACTTGACCCAGCTGCTCTTCCATTCCCTGCTTTAACCACTGAGCCCCTGCAGGTTGTTTTAGAGCCAGACAGGTGGTAGTTTAACTTTTGAATCACATCTCCCATTTGCAGTCTTTGCCTACCATCAAATTTATCCAGATTCCAGTGCCCAAGCATGCAAATAGTCTGGATAGGACTACAAGTCTATAAAACTTACATTTTCAAAGATTTATAGCTCAGGGCATTGCATAATTTGTTTGTTTGTTTGTTTGTTTGTTTGTTTATTAAATGTGCATAACACCCCTTCATCTGAAGATTTCAGGGCGGTTCAAACAGGGCCGTCTTAAGCATATCCAGCCCTGTGGTGCAAAGATCCCTCTGCGCCCCCCCCCCCCCGTTTCCCAGAGTTGTTGACCTTTTGATCAATGTGGAAAATGAATCAACCCACAAATAAGTCACTAAAAGTCAATGTATATCAAACATTTTCTCAATTGGAGCCATGGTTAGTTTTCTTTCATCTCATTAACACATACAGTGGTACCTCTGGTTGCGAACTGGATCCGTTCTGGAGGCCCGTTCGCAACATGAAAAGAGCTCAACCCACAGCAGTGCATCTGCACACACGCGGGTTGCAATTCACCGCTTCTGCGCATACGCGAGTGGCAAAACCCGGAAGTAACCCTTCCCGGTACTTCCGGGTCGCCATGGGACATAACCTGAAAGAACGTAACAAGAAGCAGACGTAACATAAGGTATGACTGTACTGTATGCTGCAAAGACCAGTTAAGAGATTTTGTGTACTATTGGTCAGATAATGTTATCAGCAATAGAATTCATGACAACAAAAATGCTTGCCCTAGCACATTTCACAGCTTCAACTGCTACAGACTGTCACTGAAAATAATGCATTGGTCAGTCTGAACCATGTCAAGTAAACTATGGAAGTAGCATATCCACAGCACAAACTTTCCTTTCAAGTCTAATTCCATATGGGTACAATCTGAAGGAGCCACTATTCCCAGCCTGTGAAAAGTAGTCTTGGCTATCAGACATTTTGAAAATGTGATAGTCACAGTACATTCTTGCAGCCCAACGCCAGGTTCTAGGCATTGCAGAGGGCTGGACTAGATGATCCTCAAGAGGGTCCCTTCCAACTCTATAATACTATAATTCTAGGGGAAAGGAGCTATAACTCTCTCTCACGGTGGGTCTAGGCACTACTATTATAGATATATCCTACCTGTTGAAGGCTTTGTTTTAAAGGGATCGGAAATCGTGTTCTACCTGAGCTATACATATATCACGTTTCTGTAGGGATGTTTGGCATTTGCTGAAGGATGGAAGCCAACTTGAGTAAAACTTTTGAGAAAGAATGCAGGGTATCAATGATAAAAAATAAACAAAAATTGGGTCAAGCTAGACATTCAGAGCTTTTTGTTCTTTTATTTTCTTTAGGTGTTTGTCCTGGGATTTTCCCTGAGCACTCCCTTTTGCGGGGTTTGCCGCGGATTCGATTCTGTGATTGTGACTTTCTGCAGCTTGCTATTCCCTTAAAGGGCCTTAGCTCATGAGCCGGTCGATCCAGGGGCTCCCGGTGTGCGTTGTTGCAGTGGACGAGAAAACCCTCTGCGCAGCGGCCCCACTTATTATTTTCGGGGAAAGTTTTGCCTACAGGGTTTTTGCCTTTAGCGCTTCTGGCTGCTGAGTTTCTTCCATTTCCCTGGGTTCTGGGAGCAGCAATTTTGAGCGGGTATAGCCACGCATTTAATTTCAAGAGCCTTGAATTGAGTTTTAGTGAGGGTGAAAGAATTTGAGTTACAGTGATTGTTTTGTTCGCTGTTTAGGCTTTTGAGAGTTCCCTCTCTGTAAGCTTGGTGAATCCTACACCCCACCTTCCTAATTTGCTTAAGGCTGGTCGGGGAGATTCCTAGGGCTGGCAGCCATTTTCCCCAGCTTAATTTTGGCTGGAACATTTTGCATCGGTGATAGTGCCATTTCTGGCGGGAGCGCCATCTTGTTTTGGCAGGAGCACCATCTTGTTTTGGCGGGAGCGCCATTTTAACGCCTTAAGTGTTAATTTATTAATTTGTACTTTGGGAGCGCTTATCGAGATGCCTGGTCCTGCTCTCCCTTCAAAAAGGGTAATTAGAGGCCTGTCTCAGTCACTGCGTTCAGTTCAAGCCCCAGCAGTTCCTCAGCAAACTCTGGATTGTCTGGGTGCTATCATGGCCAATATTGGCACGGACCCTGCGGCCTTGACAAGGTTTAATTCAGAGCTTGAGTCATTGGCTCAGCAGTTTGGGAGGCAGCCTGATCCCCAGCCTGGCCCCTCCTCTTCTTCTACTGTTTGTGAAGCCCATGGTCCCTCTGATATGAGTGAAGGAAGTGAGGCTTTTGATTCTTCTGGGGCTTTGTTTCCCCAATCGCTGTTTTCCAGGATTCCAGTCCCAGCTAGTCCTAGGGGTCGTCCCAGGAGTATGGGTCCTATGGTTCAGCAGGCCTTTTGGTCTGGATTGCCTCGTTCACAGTCAGCACCCCTGGGTTCTGGGAGTTCAGGGCTTCCTGCAGCGCAGCTTATGGTGAGTGGAACTTCTTCTCAGTCTAGCACCTCATGTTTTTAGTTCTGTTCAGGTGAAGTCGGTTCATCCAAGGGAGGCGATCAGCATCCACTCTTCTGAGGAGGATCTTCTGGTGCCCCAGGTCCCTTCATCCAGTGGCAAGTGGCAGAAGAGTTGTCGCTCCAAACACAGGGCCAAGAGGTGCAAGGATGGTGATACCTCCTCTTCTACTGGTACGTCTTCTGAGACATCTGACGATGAGTCAGATGTGGTTCTAGTTCTTTACTGGGGCCACAGTGAAGGGGCTTCGGACCTTCCCAGGTGTGCGTGGCAGCATAGAGCCAATTTGCACAGGGCTAGGTACAGCCTTCCCCTTGAATGTGTAGATGGCAAACCAGTCAAGGATGTTAAAGTCTCAACCAATGCGGTCAGGGATATTATTCCCAGTGCGCACTTGTCATCTAGGACCCAGAATAGGATTCTCAATGGCTGGTATGTTGACATTTTCAAACTCCTTCCGCCTGAGGAATGTCCGGATAAGGACAAGCAGGTGGCGTCAGGGAAGGGAAAGGCCAGCTCCCTTAAGGTAGAGAGGTCTTTTGAGAAATGGCTCAATGCCTTTCAGGTATTTGCAGGAGTATATCCCAAAAGAAGTCTACACCTGTGGATTTACCAATCGTTGGTGCGTAAGGCTTTTGCATTGGCTTGTCAGGTGGCAGCTATAGGCTACGATGGAAGTTTTAGACATTGTGCCGCCAGGATCCCTTCTGCTTAATGGAATCGAAAAGACCTTGATGTGTGGACTACTTATATCTCTCCGAATTTTGAGAGCAAATCCACTGAGCAAGCAAAATCCAAGCAAGAGGTTAAGAAGCCAGGAAGGTGCCTTATTTTTTGGGAATATATTAAGTACATTTGGGTGGCGGAGTTAGCCTGTTCCCTGCTTTCCGCTCATGTGGGTGTTCACCCTTGGCTGACCTATTCTGGAACCCTGGGTCAGCGCTACCTGCATGGCAGGGAGCTAGTCGAACCAGAGCCTATGCAACCAATCACTTTCTGTAATCAATAAAGTTGTGGCCTAAATTCTGCCAAAAACCAAAAGCAAAATTTGAGTCATGTGTGAATTTATTTAGGGGGGGGGGTAGGTTTCTGGGTCTGAACACACAAAGCTATTATCACTTAGCCTAACCTACCTCACACAGTTGTGAGGATAAAATGAATATTCTACATGCTGCCTAGAGTGCCTTGTAAATTTAATTAATTAATGTGCAATCTGCACATGTTCATTCAGATGTGATTGGCATTATGGTAATAGGAAGCTGCCCTATCTGGAGACATCAGGGATTGGACCTGAGACAGATGTTTTACCACTGAACTATCATCCTTCTCCACTGATGAATTCAATGGGGGTTTCGTCCCAAGTAAGTATGCATAGGGCTGGAGCGACACAGAGCAGCCTGAGGAAGTTTAAGGTAAAGGGACCCCTGACCATGAGGTCCAGTCATGACCGACTCTGGGGTTGCGGCGCTCATCTCGCTTTATTGGCCGAGGGAGCCGGCGTACAGCTTTCAGGTCATGTGGCCATCATGACTAAGCCACTTCTGGTGAACTAGAGCAACGCACGGAAATGCCGTTCCTGAGGAAGTTTACTCCTAAGTAAATACCACGTAATTCTATGGACCTTAGGGCCGGACAATTGTGTGTGTTGTATTGTAGCCTTATGTTTCCACTGCCTGCCAATGCTCAAATAGCTTCACCTTAAAGTACCTGAAGCCCAATTCAATAATGCTTTTCATGATGATTAAAGCAAGATTAAAC